GGTACTAACCTAAACCCTAGACCCCTAAACCCTAAACCCCTGAACCCTAAAGCCTAAACCCTAAACCCTAAACCCCTAAACCCCTAAACCCCTAAACCCCTAAACCCCCAACCCTAAACCCCTAAACACCAATCAAATGCAATCCCAAGGCCAGGATCCGAGGAAGCTAACCAAGACCGAGACAATCGCGGTGAGCACTGCCATAGCGCTGTTGGAGAGATTCACGCCAAACATCTGCGAAACGCGGATCATGTGCCTAAGTGTTTGGGCCGCTGGGGATCGGAGTCGGCTCTACACTCTAAATGAGAACACGCTCGGTTGCGGCACAAGATTGAAGGCTGGGGTCAAAACTTGCATCAGGGTCGCTGGTTTGAAGAGGCTTGAAGTCTGCTAGCTGTTGCTTCCAAAGCAACCAGGAGCACTCGCAGCCAACGAGTGGCGGTGTGATATAATGGGCCTACCCACCACGAACTGGTTCATGGTAAGTGTGCGCTTTCGGCTCTTTATTTCGAGCTGAGCCTTTGTCTATCGCTGCTCACAGGCAGACTCCACTGACATGCTCCAAAATGCTAGAATCCTTGACCTAGTAGACACCCACATGTTCCAGGCATCAACGAAGAAGACCCTGAAAGCAAACCCTGCTTCCCTAAATCCTAAACCCTATGTCCTAAACCCTGAATCCTAGATCCTAAATCCTATACCCTAAATCCCCCTAAATCCTAAATCCTGCATCCTAGATCCTAGATGCTAAAACCTAAATCCTAAACCGCTTCAGGACTCCTTGCCTCTCCAGAGAGACCAGAAGACTCGAGGTCTGATTCTCCTGTCTGACAGGAGGATTTAGTGGTTACGGGTTAAGCGTTTAGGATTTCGGGTTGCGGGTTTAGGGTTTAGGGGTTTGGGGCTTAAGGTTTAGGATCTAGGGGTTTCGGGTTTAGGATTTAGGATTTAGGGTTGAGGGTTTGTTAAAGCCTTACTGCAACGAAAGGATCCTAATGAGGTCCTTTTTTGAAGGTTGGGGCTACCAAAATCCACGTGTTACTGGCACCTTGGGATCTCAGTGCGCAAGGGCAACAAATTCAGAGCTCAGGGCTTGGGATTTTGAGTTCAGCCATTGATGAAGCAACCTTCGCAGCGTCATCGACGGTGGGGTACCTTAAGATTTTGGTCCTACCAAACTTCTAGGATCAAGGGAACCGCTTGCAAGCTACTTCAAGGGTATCTATCCACATCCATGAACAGCCGTGTATGGGCCAGGAAATGCCGTGAGCGCCACAAACAAACACCACTGATTTAAGTGACAAGGTCTGAGCACGCGTCAGGACAAAGCTCGCTACTGCACATGCCCCCAAGCTAAGAACCCTCCTGTACTCCGCGATGGAAGGGAGTAATAGAGGCTTCGTTGCGAGTTTGGGCCCAAGAATGGGAAATAATAGGAACTCGGGGTCTCTGCTCTGCTCAAAAAAATTTCCAGCCCCCGCGCTCCGGTGAATCGAAGAAGGCCATGTGCATGCGGATCACACTGCCAAAGGCCAGCTTTCGCAGTTCAAGGCTGATGCTTTCCTGCGGCCAAGGTGCTTCGTGCTGGGTTGCTGTTAAAGAACTTAAGTTGACTTACCATGATATGGGGTAGAACAAATGACTGAATTTTCTCTTTAGAGTACCTCTATTTGGGTTCCTAAACAGCAACCCAGCTTGAGCGAAAAAAAGCTTTAAGGTCTGCCCACGAAGTACAGCATGGCACTGTCCCGGTTTCATGGTTTGGCTGGTGCAAACCTTTGATGTTCGGCTCGTCTTCTGCCCTTGCACAGCCCGCATGTGACACGTGTTTGCATTTCTGTGCTGCTGCTTCTGCCATTGCAGGGTCACGGCGCGAGGCTTTGCAAGACCGATATCGACCCTCCACAGAGCTGCTGACAGTCAAGGTTGTGCGCCTTTTGCATCGTTTTCTATTGCGTCAGCTGTGTTGATGTCACTTCATATCAGAAGAGGGCTGATGGCGCTCCTGGACTTGATAACATTCCGCGCAACCCCTACGTTTTACCTGCAAAGGCACGGGGAGAGAAGTCTTTTGCAACGGGTAGACCGCGTCCTGCAGGAACGTGAAGACAGCCTGCATGATCAGGACGCAACCACCCATGACCTGCAGCAGTGCTGACGCAGCTTCAGCAGCAGCAGCTGCTGCTGCTTCAATGCTAACTGCTTCGAAAGTGCTACAAGTTGTTCATCTGGTTTCAAGACTGCATAGCCATCATAACTTCTCAGATGGCCCCTGGCCCATGAGCTGTGCATGCAACATGACTATGAGTAACGATGGCCGCTAGCTGCCAGCATCAGCATCGCGGTCCAACTCTTAAACTCCGTGTTTCACAGAAGTTCACTTTGGACATGAGACAAGACCCTATCCCTCAACAGGACAAAACACCATCCACCTGGCCTACCTGCTCACATTCCCCCAGGACAAACCCCATAAAGTAGCAAGGAGGCAACGCCCAGAAGAGCAAGTCCCAGACAGGCCCGATCCTGGGTTCTGACAAGGCTTTGGGCCCTGGAGCGCTTGCTAGAAACAAGAATGTCCCCATAACATTAGGATTATGTAGGGGCTCTAGGACAGGTTAGGATTTTGACCTAGGG